TTCGGAAATTTTACAAATTTTTACAAATTTTTACAGATTTTTATGCGAATAGATATAATTTTATGAATCTAATTAAACAACTTGAAAATACATATATATACATATAATTCTATGAATGTAATTAAACAATATAAGTAAATGGCTATCTTAATATCACTCACTATGTTAGAATATAATAATTTCAGGCATCAGAGAATAGTGCTTCATAGCTTGTAACTAATACTAAGCGTTAGTTTAGGTGTAGCTGAGTATTACACATTATTATTATAAAGGCAGAAATAAGATTATGTAGCTTTAACATTAATTTAATTAATTTAATTTTTAATGTTTAATATGAAGGGATTGGAGTGTTGATGGTGCATGCGAGGACGAAGGAAGGATGTTGTCTGTTCGGAATGGAACGGATGTAAAGATGTGAGTAAGGTGAGGAAAGGTTGTGCGTTTCGTCTCAGAGTCGCTGCCTAGACTCATCAGTGGGGCTGATGGCAACGATCCCTTACCCCAGACGCTTGTTATAACTACTCGCTAAAGCTGGACGGTCGGTCGGACACCCATCCTTGAAGTGTTCCGCACTCTGTTTGCTTGACATCGAAGATCGCTAGACTTCGACGCCAGCCACTTGTATCTTGTACGAGTCAGTGTTCGAAACTTGTACTCGAGGAACTATAGGCCGTTACATGTTTCCTGATTTCCTCATATTATACATTTAAAAATGTATAACAAACTGATCTCCTAACAATAAAATGTGATACCATCTCATCTTATAAATAATATCATAAATACAAAATATATACTGTATGAGAGCTGAAGAAAGGTTTCGAAGGACAACAGAAATCATTCATCGGTACACTATAATACACGTGCTTATTTGTATGTGATACTTTTGCGTGTAAAATCAATAAATGTTCTCGTATTTAAGCTTGTATCTGAAACAACAGTCAGATTCACATTCGAGAGACTTCTTAACTCTCAATAATAACTTAACCTGGCATGTGAAATCGTGATTTATGGGCCACATGTAGACACTTCTTCTTTTTGGAGGCTCCCTTCCACAGTAGACTGTAATGATTACCGAATTGCTCTTTCTCCAGTTAGCACTACATTCACATATATTAGCTGACATTACTACGGCTGCAATCGATGTAAATATATATGAATGTAGTAGTAGCTAGAGAAGGAAGAATTTGATGGCGATTTTCAGAGTCTAGTAGATATGGAGGGATATTCTCTCAGCGAAGCAGGCAAACAGGAGACACGTTTATCTATAAGTTATTTACCGGGGTTCGTATGAGCTGATCACTCAGTCTTCCAATTCCCCCACTATGAAAATTAATTTCTCTAATTATTTTTCTTAGAAAATTGAGATCCCTACTATTTCTTGGGCTGTCAGTTCATCACCTCTGATTTATACCATACGTAATCTATCAGCTCGGGCAATTTCCCATAATGCTAATTGTTAGAATTATGTGTGCGAAAGACATTTGGCTTCTTGTTTCTATAAAATAATTTATTATTCTATTTTTAGATAAGGACAATAGTTCGTCCGTCTTTTATGCTGGCAAGAAGTACTAACGTCTACCATTTTGCGGGTATTGTGACGCGATAGTTCATTGTTTTTTTCCCCGGTCGCTAACCCGCGTGCTTGTTATATTTAATGTTCTCTATAAACAGTTATCATCGATCATTCTATCGATGTTTAATAATTTCATCGTTTTTTGAGGAATTTTGCCAAAGCAATCAAACGGCTGACAAATAGAAGTGATTGGCCCTCACTCGCCATCACTATAAAACAGGCCGTCAACAGGATGTCAGTGCGTCGTAACATACAATCAATGCGTTGTTAATGCGTTAGTAAAGTTGGAATACTCAACAGCTGTCAGTGCGTCAATGCGGATCACTGAGTACGTAAATACAATCACTGAGTGCGTATCACGTCACTGCGTTATCATTACAATTCGTCGTATAGTATAGTCAATCTTTCTCCTATACGGCCATATATCGGCTATTATATACTGCTATTTCTCCTATTACTGTTAGTGCTATCGCTAATACGTGAATAGTCGTCAGAAATTGGATGGTCTGTTAGAATTCCGTGCAACGTCCGATCTAAGCGAATCAGTCACTCATACAGTCCACTTATAGCAATCTTCGGTATTTTATCGGAATCGTAATAATCTTTCATAATACTTCACCATACGCTTGCTATCTGCCTCAGATACAAGCGAACCGGAATCATATTTCATGACACATCGTGCTGTAACACTATCTTACCTTAAAATGGTATCCAACATCTCAACAGTTTCTCTGATATACTTGAGAAAATGCAAACGAGTTATTACAAAATCAACAAAATAGATTCCATAATGCAGTAAAGGATAGGTGTAGATATACTTCGTACTTTTGATTCGTTGCTTGGTTGTTTGATCCACTATTGAAACTGCAAACAGTTATCAATAATATTTAATTATTTTGAATAACAAAATCGTAGATGATTAATCTACGAATAACTATCTTTGAATAACAAATCATAAGATATAGATTGATTACAGAAATAATTAGTTCATTACTGCCTAACTCTGTCTGAATATTGATGTTAAAATTAAAGCTATCAAAATGACCAATTTATAATCTTTTAGAGCAGTTTTGTACAATACTGCATTTTCAGATTTTAATGATTTTTCTAACATGTATGAATAAAAGTTTGCGTTCATTGTTGTATCATAAACTTTTCCTTGTTCCTTGCATTCTAATTCTTTTGATTTAATTTTTATACATTAGCCGTCAATTCAGTGTTAAAACTATTAAAACTATAGGAAACTATAGAAAATACAAGCTTACTAACTACTATAAGGCTGTAATGAGATATGATGAGTTGCAAACTATCTATAAATTACAGATTGATCATTGTGTCAATTAGTGTGAAATTAAAGTGCGGAATCCAGTGTAATACAATCAGCGTAGTTATAATAATAGACTATAAATCGTTGTACTAACTGAAACACATCCAATTCCATAGCAAAAATTTAAAAAAAATTGATAATTTATTGATGTATAAAAGTTAATATTTACTGATACGTTGATATATAAAGTTAAGTCGCGAAAAATGCAATAAAATGAAAAAGATAACTTTTCGAGAAATACCCATATTTGTAAGAATTCTTCAATTCATAATCTCTTTGCATTTTATCGCTCGTACTATTTACTCTAAAATGCATCAACAAGTATGATAGGACGTGAATAGATTTTATGACCATGAGGTCGTAAGCAAATTTACTTTCTCGAACTCACTTTTATGCTTATAATTCCGCGATCTGTTTAGCATACGAAATGTTAGTGGCAGATCTCATAAAATCGCTAATATTAATACTAATATTAATTTTTCCCGTATTACCTCTCTAATACAACAAGCAGGTATAGACGCTATTTTTAATAATTTAACTATATATATTGCAAAAATATAATATAAATTATTTAATAACAATAATGATGATAAGACAACAAACAATTAAACAAGACAAATAACACAAATTAACGATTCAAATAAACTCTTTACACAACACAATTAATTCTTTCAGACAACGCAATTAACTCTTTTAAACAGTTCTTTCTCGACAATTTCTCACGACTCTCATCGACTCAGTTTTCCAACTCGTTCGATTCTTCTCTTTTCAAAAAGAAAAGCGCTTCACGTCTACGTTGTTTTTCTCGCATCACATTTTCTCGTACTTTCGAGGAGAGTTTATTTTTGTGTGCGAGGATGAAGGTATGAGTTTGAAGGTAATGTAGGAAGTGATGTGGATAAGGGTGAAGAAAGTTTGTGCGTTTCGTTTCAGAGTCGTTGCCTAGACTCATCCAGTGGGACTGATGGCAGCAACCCCTTACCCTAGACGCTTGTTGTTATAACCAGAGACTGAAAACCGAAATATTTTGAGGTTTAGGTAAACTGAAACCGAAATATTGTGTATACCGGTATTTGGGAAATCGGTTTTAATACCGGTATATAACAGTATGGTACCACTTTCCTGACGAAAGTACATTTTTCATTTTCTACATACAGTGACTCTTATTAATATTCGGACATCATGCTATTCAAAACATTATTGTGGATTTCGATAGTAAATTTGGATTAATTTTTTAATAATATAATTCATTCATTATAGTTCATAGTAACATAAATTTTATTTATTTATTGCACATTTTTCTGCTGTTGGGAAAACTCGGTTCCCATC